TAAGCTAAAGTAATTAAAATTTTACTTTACTTATATACTAAATATATTTAGTAAAAGTAATCCGTATTTACATAAATGCAATTTTTAATTAATTACAAACATAAAAGTATAACCTAATTCTTTAAGTGTAAATAATACATACAATTTGATACTTACTATCATTGAAAATAGGTAAAGCAAGAAGTAATATCCAAACAATTCCGCTGACATATAAACAGAAACACAGTGGTCGTTCCCATTTCAATAAAAATTGTATTATTTTTCCAGATCCTGCCCCAGGATCGGTTAACAAAGCCATATTCAATTTTATTCGTTAATCCTATATGTGTACATACTTTCCATCATTATCTAAATATCACTTTCTATTATTAAATAATAAAAATATTCAATTTTTTTTATTTATCTTTCATTTAATAGTTTTACGTTGTAAAATAGATTGCCAAAAATTTTTTGCTTTTCTGGAATACATAATTTTCTTTACATTTGACGATAGATATTGAAGTTTTTTTAGTTATAGTTTTTGAAAGTTCATTTCTCCGATTCTCCACAACTGAAATACATGTCATCAAAATAATGTTTTTGAAAAACAGATTAGCGTTAATAAACCAGAAATGAAAAAATCAAGATATTTCGAAAATCGTCGTTGTCGATATTTTTTCCACTTCAAATGTGTGAAGTATCGGCACGTCTCTATTTAAAAAAAAAGGCGCTTAAAAATATCTGCGATACTCATTAAATACACATGTATAACGATTAGAGATTAAAATTTTTAGTAAAAATCCCACAGCTGGTTAGAATTAACAGTCAACCGGGGCAAGAAGTTCAAAAACTATTAATCCGATTGATATAAATCTTATTATAAGAACGTATATATACAGGGTGGAACAAAAAAGCTTTGTTCACCTGGAATATTTCCGTTATTTGTAATAATATGGAAAAATGTTATATACAAAACTTACATCATATAGGGAAGATATAATGTGATGTAAATACTTTTTACGTGGGTGTAGACATATGCTATATTTTTCTACTATGGTGTAAAAAAACATTATTTTATTTTTTCGTATGATGTAGAATACATGTTCAATATAAGAGATACAAATGTAACACTGTTTTATCTTATGACAAGAACAATAATAAATTCTCTTTAACACTAGAAGGACCAACCAGGTCAAAATGACCCATTAATAATTTTACAAAAAAAGTGAATGTTCAATACTGATAAGCATCATCGTTTGTAACTCTCTGACTTTATTTATTGCATGTGTACTTCTATTTGTATCAATATGAATTAAATTTTTTAACTACGTTTTATAATAGTTATATAAAAAGTCACTTTTGTAAAGTTGTTAATGGGTTATTTTAACCCAGCCTTCTAGTGTTAAAATAGTATAAGTCCAATTTTGGAAGAAATTAGTTAAAACGAGTTTCAATTACAAATCGACGTCTCATTTTTAATATTCTGAATATTAAAATCAAGTATATTTCAATATCCCTACAAATTAAACAATACAACATGAATAAAGTCCTTAAAATAACATTTTAATATTGTATCAGAGAGTCATTCTATTTATAAATTCTTTATAGTAAAAAATAACAATATTTCTAAATAGGTTAAAATGTAAACCTCCTAATATCTTAAATCAAAGAAAAGTGGACTTGTACTCTTCAAAAATCTTAACACACTTATGCTTATGCACATAAACCTAATGCAAACATATATTTTTTCTTTAAAATTGTAATCTTTGGTATCGACTTTTATGTTATGAAAAATAGTAAATATAAAACAGAATTTCATTAAAAATAATAGAAATATTTTCAATGGAAAATGTGTTACTATACCATATATTATGTTTAAATTTTAATAGAAAAGCATAGTAATCTCAAAAATTTGTTACAAATTAGAAGTAAATTGCTACATATCATTAAATTCTGATGTTATAAGTGGGAAGTTTTGTGTATCTATGAGTAAATCTTCATTTGTATTTACTTTTTCTTCAGGTTCAAATTCATCATCTTCTCCATCGGTTATCACTTGAGGTCCAGTAGATTTGTATTGAAATGCAGAATGTGATAAATCAACTTCAACAGGAAATAATGTTACAGTAGATAATAAGTCTCGTGTATTGGAATAATACTTTGCTAACCCAGCAGCAAATTTTTGCAATTGCCACACAACATCTTGAACATGTTTATTGTCTAATAATTCAAGTTTTACAAGTACATCTGATCTAAGTTTAGCAAACTTTGCACGAGCTTCTTGGCGACACCTCAGCACTAATCGATATTCATAATTGCCTGTTTCTACTCGATAAAGAGGTTCTTGTAGCGCTGCACAACTTTGTTCTTCATCATCTAATTCTTTCACTTTTAAACAATAAGAAAGATATTCAAATTTTGCATCAGCATATTTACTAATAGTTAATCGAGTATCAGGAATAGCTTTGTGAAGATATGTGCCTAAATCATTTAATATAGGTTTTAAAGTTTTTAAAATTGTTATTCCAAATTTTTCCATTTGTCTGTGTTGTTCACCAAATTGCCTGAAAGCTTCACTAGCCCGCGGTTGTGGTTCTCTAACTCCTATTGCAGCAAAGGCATCTCCAAATACTGAAAAATATAATATAATATAGCCTTAATTTCCAAAAATACACATATAGGATAGTTCATATAAAATGATACAAGCTATTTTCTCAGAAACTATTAGGAATGATGAAAATATTTTTTCGACATTTCATGGGTCACTAAGTCAGTTATAAAATAAATGAAGTAGCATTACTTCTCCCCCTGCCCCCACAGAGAGACAATGGACCCCTCATTTTCTCAATAAAACGGGGATATTTAATGGCCTTTGCACTCGGCAAATTTCATACTTCTGGATCTTTATGAAATTTTATTAAAAATAAAATAGTGTAACTCACACAATAAGAAAGGACATAAAAGAACGAATCTTCACTATTTATACTTCTATTGCTCTACAATTATTACAAGAACGAAAAAAACATTCAGTAAAGAATAAATAAGTGTGAAGAAGTAATTGAACATCGTTTTAAACATTTTTAAAAGAAAATTCCAGTTCAAAAAGCATAAATTAAAATACAAATTACTTTTTTCAACTGAATTTACTGTGTGAAATAGTTATCACTATTGTGTAAATAATTACACTATAACTGATCATTGCATCTCTTCAATTATGCATTATAGTAAGAAATATTTGATATACACATTTGTTTTTAAATAAATGATTACGAAGTATAAAAATTGTGTGTCCTATCCCACTTTTCTGGGGGCTAGCAACAATGTCTCATTAATTTTATAAAAGAGACCAGTGAATAAATAAGTATCGAACAAAATTGTCACTATCTTTAAGAATTCTTAAGAAAATAATTTCTAACACTTTATATGGACTGCTCTGCAAATTATGATATGTATATGATTTTACAATTGAATAACTTAAGAGTCTATAACATAATAGTCTTAAAAAAGTATTTTAAATATAACTTAATTAAAAATTTGTAAGCATACCTTTATATATTTGGATTAAATCAAAAAAAGCATGCAAGGTAGATTTAGCGTGGGAAACTAAACCCCTATACAAATTTTCTGTGCGCTGTAATGCCATTAATCGTTGTACAAGTGCATCATTACAAAGAATAGCACGAGATAGTCCAAGTGCATCTGCTGTTGCACTTCCCATTCCTTCAACTAATCTATGTTTAACCTGAAATTTAATTTATGCATTAGAATTATTTATAATAAATTTATTAGGCAATACATACATTATATACCTTTTTTAAAGCTATGTCAAGAGTGCGACCTTGTTTAGGATCAGCATGTAACTTATTATAATTAATACTGACTTGAGAATCACAAGACTGTATCATTTTTGCAACTTCCACTTTTGTTTTTCCTCTAACTGACATTCCATTTACAGCTACAAGTTCATCTCCTGCTTGTAAAGTACCATCTACTGCAGCAGGTGTATTATCAAAAATTTGTACAATATATAAACAAGGACACAATGGCGCTCCACCTCCAATACTTATACCTATAAGGTTACTGTTGTCTTTTTGTATTACAACATTGCCAGAAGTGATAGTCATACCCCTGAATAAAAATTAATGCAATAAAAGAATACATGAATATTACTGGACTGAATACTTAGTCCACATAAAAAATATGAATATTTGAAGTGAATAAATAAAATTTAATAAACATATTTATAACAATATTATGCAATGCTTTATATACAGGATCAACTGCAATATGCTATTATTTTCATTGTCAATGAACTGATCACAATTTTGCTTATCACCAAGGATACAGTTTAGGAATGCCTTTATACTCATAACATTATACTTTTTATGTATCCCTTTTAGTAAATTTTTAATTGTGTTATCAATAATAAAAAAATTTCAATTGATCCACTAACAACGAAAATGACACAGATAGCCACATTATGTAGTTCATTCTGTATATATACAATGAGTCATAGAAGCATTAGTACTCTTACACTTATTGGATTCAAATGATTAATAAATAAAATCTTGTGAATCATTAAAGATTAGTCATTTGAACTCAATAACAAAGAGGGTACAAATACTTCTGTGATTTACTGTATATAATACTATCTATACACTAGTGCCATACATAATAATTTTCATATTAAATACCACAAATAATTTAACATTTAATAATGTGCATAGTACTAAATATAAAATGACTCACAATTCAAACTTTGCTAAACAAGCAAAACCTAATAAACAAGTAACAATAAAACATTTAAATACAACTTTATATTAAATAAATATTCAAAAAATTCTTACCTAAATACTATGATAACAATTAAATATTTATAGATATGATAATAAAAAACATTAAAATGTACTTGTAGCAGCAAGCATATCATTAATGAAACTTACATTGTACTGTTGGGTAGATGATGAAGAAACTGATCTTGATTGACCAGTTCTACATCTGGTCTACATTCCATAATGATTAAAAAGAAATGAAGTTTTACAGTTTATAAAATTTTTTAAATACATAATGTACATGAATAAACATAATAAAAAGATTTTAACAAGAAGAAATTTAAAGTGAGGAAAAATAATAAAATATAACAATGCATACATGCGATCTTCCATTGTGGTAATTTGATGCAATTGCACATTAACTGATGGCACGGTACTTAATAGAACAAAATTTTCTTTAAAGTCTGCAGCAAAATTTTTCAAAGTAATATTATCTGTGGATAATATTTTTTCATCTTCTAGGCTATTTCACCGCACCGTAACACATAGGCATGCATGTTACAAGAAAAAGGAAGCATATTTAAATTGAAGTGTAACACATCATTACGTAAATAAGTAGTTTTTTGAAACCAACATCTTATCTTCTTCGAAGAAAAAATCATCATCATAATCCATGCTTGTCATCTGTAATATTGACAACAAAGAAGTTGACATTTAAAACTTCGATTTCATTAACATAATATTGTTCATAAGCAGATGAAAGACGTCAATGAAATATTGAAAAATTTGTACTTTAAAAATATTTTTTAGAGAAACTGTGATGCAATTAGTTTCTAGTGTGTAACATTAAAACATGTACCTTAATGAATCACTTATAAGAAAAACAAATTAAGGTTAGGTGTCAAAGAAACAAGGAGTATGGTACACGCATGCTTCTCAATTTCAATGAATATACATAGTAACTGATATTTAGTCATCATTTTCATGTACTTACATTTATTACATGCATGCTCGAAGAATTCTAAAAAATTGACAACAAATTGCATGAATGTATAATTTTTTATAACAAGCTTTTCTTCTGTCAATAATTATAAAAAAGAATATGCATAACAAAAATAACATATAGAAATTTACAAGAAAGATTTTTCATTGATTATATCAATACCTGCTTTTATTGGTTATTGATATACTTGTTGATAAATTGATACCTGTATATTTATCATATTATGTACTAAAACTTAAATTTACTTTATACTTTATACGTGTTAGAAATAAATTGTTTACATAGGATTTCTATTATACTTGCTACAATAATACATTAACTAAGATACTACATAATAGTAAAACATAAATTAATATAATAAATTATGAAATAAAAAATATAGTATTTTTTTCTTTTCTCTCATTATATTAAGTTATTTTGAATAAATTTTTCGTTCAAATTTGATCAAGTAAATAATCATTTCTTTAAAAGAAAATTTACTAGTAATAAAATTTACCACGTTGGTAATGCTAACTAATGGTAAATTTCTGACGTTCTTTATTTAATGCCAACGTTACCTTGGTGTTCCACGTTGTAGAATTGACGACTGCGCTGCTGGTCCTCCACGTTGCAATCGGGGATGGTAGCCGGTTATGTTATAAAGAAATAGTATAGTTATGTACTGATTCTGAAGTGAGTGTTCGAGAAGTGCAATAAATCGATATTCATAACAGAAACATTAGTTCTAGAATAACGCAACAAAATGAAGAAATTTAGCATTTTGTTATTACTTTTCGTTTCAACAATTACATTCACAATGAATAGAGGTATGCAGTAATATGCAAAATAGAGTTAACCGAAATTTTTCACATTTTGTTATTTATATTAATATTACACATACGTGTGTAACATGTTGACATGGAAAACTATCTTTTCATTAATTTTTTATCGTATACGTAATTTTCATTAAAAATACAATTAATATAACTTTAGAAAATGTTATTTAATATGCTTAAAATAAAATTTTACTGAATCATGTACATTGTATTAATATTTTGTAATAAATTTTACATTGGAAAAATTATTTATTAAATTATTTTTAATTTCTGTTATAGCTTACGCTCAAGAAGATGAAAATATAGATGATATAGTAGATATTGAAGGGGAAGATAATTCCATAATAACAGATGAAGAACCTGAAGATGAAACAACCAATGCCTCATCTGATGCAGATACAACTATATTATTTACTAAACCTGTTTATAATGGGTTATCCACATTAGGTATACATAGTTTTCTAGAACCATATTACATCTTATTCAGTTATAAGGATAGCATTTAATAGTTCATTTATTTTTCTAGAATTACCAGCTGGGAATTTAGTTGAATTACTTGTTGGTTTTACTAATAAAGGTGAATCCGACTTTGTTCTTGAATCTTTGGATGCTTCTTTCCGCTATGCAATGGATTTCAATTTCTATATTCAAAATTTTTCAACTGTCACATATAACAAAATTGTAAAATCAAAACATGAGGCAACACTAGCATATTCATTTATTCCATCAGAAAATTTTGCTGGAAGACCGTTTGGTTTCAATATCAATTTGAATTATAAAGATGCTGTATGTAATGCATTTAATAATCAATTTAAAAAATATTAGTTAAAAAAATTAATAGTAATATATAATTTTGCAGAACGGCGTTGGCTTCAGCGAAGCTGTTTACAATGAAACAGTGCAAATAATAGAATTGGATGATGGTCTTGATGGAGAAACAATTTTCTTATATGTATTTCTTGCTGCATGTGTAATATTAACACTTGTAGGAGGACAACAACTTCTTTCATCTCTTGGACGTAAATCTCGATCTTCTAACACTCGTAAAGCTCCTGTGGAAATGGGCACAGCCAATCCTAATAATGTGGATTATGACTGGTTACCAAAAGAAACATTGAATAGAATTAGTACGTATTATATATTTTAAACCGAGCATAAAATGATAATTACATTTTGTATCAAATTTTTTACAGATAAATCTCCCAAAACCCCCAGACAGAGCCCTAGGCAACGAAAAGTTAAAAAAACATCTGATGACTAATTTCTAACATATGTGTAAATGTGCGTACGCACATACATGTGTATGTGTACATATAATTTAAGCAGATAGATAGGAAGTATGGTTGTACGTTTATAATAATTCTTTCTCAACAAATTTTTATATGCTTGCATCTATGATGTATTCTAGAAGAAACTGAATATCATTGCTATACACTTAAAATATTCAAAAGAAATCTTTTACATTATATGTAATTTATAATGAAACATCTTTAAATAAATTTTATAAATTATGCATAATATTATGAAATGTGATGTAATGTTGTCAAAAAGGAAGGAGAAAAATTTCAATATGAGTCTTTCATATAAATAGTATTAAAAAATCTACATGCATTATCACACCATATGAATATACATACATATTATTATGTAATTGTAAATTTTGTTATCAATCATCACTTCTGAAATGATATTATATCAATAAAACATAATTTTATATAAATTACTTTTTTGTTATTTATAATACATAATTCTATAATGATGGTGTAACTAATAAAATTGTAGTACATAACAGTAGCACCTGTTGAAATGTTGTTGGTAAGTAATAAAGATGGTTCTGCAATACTTAATTTTAGACCCATTTTATAACTATATTTAC